AATAGCAATTAAAATGCATTTTTCCTGAACAACCAGCACAGGAGTTATAATTTCTTGAAGAAATACTTAATGATTTTAATCTAATTGTAATATTCTCAATCATATTGCAGTATTATCACTGATCATATCCAGTCCTCAACTAGCTGCAAATATCATTGAAACAAACTGGTAAACAAATGCAGCAAAGGATGATGATGTAATTACAGTGAAGAGGCATGAAGAGACCCAAACTGTTTTTGCTCAACAAATAAGTCAAGCCAATGAATTCCTGACTCTCATTCCAACACACACACACACATACACAAACCACAGCTCAGGGTTACTGTAGCCCGCTCTCTCCTCTTCTTTCTCCATCTGCACCAAACTGCTTAAAGTGATAATGAGTTGTTTTTAATAATTAATTTGCATATAAAAGCCGAGCCGTCTGTGTGGGTGGCAGAAACAGATCCTAGATCACAGTCTGGCTGCTGGCAATGCTTCAGAGAAAACCAGAGAAAACAGAGAGAACGAGGCAGGAGGCGAGAGGGAGAAAGAAAAAGACAAACTGAGAAACAGAAAGAAGAAGAGAATGAGGGAAACAAGAAAAGAGACAATGAGAGGAAGAAACGGAGAGATGAAATAAAGCCGTGCCAGAGTAAGACTGCTGTGAACAAGACATTTTGCATTAATGTAACGCATTTGGTTCTCATGTTTTAAAGTGTTTTCATATTCCTGCAACTTTTTTTAAACGCTGTTCAGTTTGTGTGTATGTGTGTATCCTCCTCTAAGTTTGCAGCAGTGCTAACTCGAGTGGAGTGTGTGCCTGGATAGAAATGTATGCCAGTGCGCTTCTACGTTCCATTGTTCGTATTATTTTACAATACTTGGTTTGAGTGTGTGTGTGAGCGCTTGTTTGCTGTAAGACTTTGATGCCTTACATTGAGGCTCAACGAATTGCAATTTGAAAGAGCATCATTGATTGTGCCAAGTGATTATTGCTTAAAACAGCAGATATTTACATTGAGAGCTATACTGTCAACAATCTCTTCAGCTGTAAAAGGTGAAAAAATATTAAGCAACAGTTTATTTTTCTGGCTACAATGACAACTGTCGCCAGCACATGTAGTCAGTTATAGCTAATTACTAAAAAATCAAAAGGACAACAGAGTGGTGCATCTTTCCCTTAACCAATCACACTGATCACTTTCAGCTTGGTGGTTATCAAATTTCAGTGACTGACAGCTGGCAGATCGTTTAAGCATTCATTCATTTTCCGTAACCACTTATCCTATTCAGGGTCCCAGGGGAGCTGGAGCCTATCACAGCTGACATTGGGCGAGAGATGGGGTACACCCTGGACAGGTCGCCAGACTTTCCCAGGGCTGACACATAGAGACAGACAATCTAATCTAATCTTGTTGTCTTAGTCAGTCCTTTATCAAAATGTTGACATGGTTACTTCATGGCTGTTTGTCATTTCTACCACAAGTGGGCAACTATACAGCTATTATAAATGAAATTAGTACCAGTTTTGAATAGTGATTATATTCCAAAGTTGGTGAGTAATATAATGAAATAGCTTTCTAAAAGTAAGCTACAAATCTATAACTCATTTCCTACAAAAGTCAATTTCAAAGTTGACTTTTTGGTGACAGGTTTGAAGGAGAGAAAAGAACCCAAGGAAGACATCAATAGGCCTTTTTCACAGCACACATTCTGACTTGTCATAGTAAGAAAAGCAGAGGTGTTACTAATAACATTAATGCTGACTCTGTTCTATTCAAGTGTCCCAGAAAGCCAAGGGAGCTTGTCTGTGAGCCAGCATGAACAATACCAGGACCCTGAAACTAAAGCAGCTGAACAAAATTCAGCCATCATTCATTTTCTTATTTACAACTGTGCTTTTTTCCCCCTCTCTATCATGCTATAACAAGCAATGATGTTATGATGTCAACAATGTCAGTCCTCAATGTTATAACGATGTTAGTTTATAACTTTTTGCCCATTTACCTGTATAATAGATCTAGTTCATTACTAACAAATTAAGAAGGAGAAATCCAGCCATGCATAAATTCAAACTTTTTAAGTTTAAACTTATTGTGGTGAGTACAGTGAGTTCCACTATAAATTAGTAAAAAGTGGTTTCACCACACAAGTTACTATAGTACGATGATACCATGGCAGAATGATTAAAAAAGAAGGGATGATAGGCAGGACAATTTTGTCCATGACAGATTAGATACTTCTGATATTTTTACAGTACGGACATGCATGCTCGGTTTAGATTCTAGCATGCAGAGATGCAAAGATTACTGTAAGAAATAATTACAGTTAGTAAAGATTTAACAAAACATTGAAATAGATTACTGAAAAGGGATATGGAAAATAATTTGGGATAAATTTACAGTGATGGTAAAGTTAAGGTCAGTCGTTCACCACTTGTTGCCAGTATTGATCCACTGTGTAACCTTGGAATGGGCTACTACCCAGTACACACCACACATTTTAAATCCCTACATTTGTATGACTCAGCAGGCACTTAACAATTTGTTGACCTTTTTTGTGGTAAGTAAAATTAAATCCGATGTTAAAAGTTAAGTACTGTCTGTTGCTGCAATTGTTACTTGGAAGATGAAAGGTCAGAACATTGATTTTTGTGATGCATTCACCTGAAATGGGAAATGCGGCAAGCATTGCTTGAACGCCTGTGACAGAAACATCTACCTGTTAAGGTGCTGACTTAGGCCCGATCACAGAAAGCATTTTAGCAGCTGGAGGTGGCTCTTTGTAACTGTTTTTAGTGAGAATGAAGCTTTTTGCTTGCTGTTTTTGCATTGCTATGCGCCTCATGTTTCTGCACTTTAGACGCCTGGCATTGTTGATTTAAGAGGTGGGCCTTCTGTGGTGGTCACAACAGCAAGTTTACAGTTAGTAAACAATGGAAGAGAAACTGGATGTAGCAATTACTGGATACCCAGAGCTATATGGCCCGACAATAGACAGCATGCTGCCAAACTGCCCCAAGTCATCCTAAAATACACCTGGAAATGACCATCATCGAAGCGAAGCTCCTGGACCAACTGGTGGTACACCCCATGATCCACCCTTTTTTTCAGCTCCCATGTAGCTACCCACACAGATCTCCGTTTCCCTGTGCCCAACAAATTATTTGCTGGCAGCCTATTACCCTCAACCAGAGCTACAGCAAGTACCCTCTGCCTGTCCATTTTAAGGAACTAGCTACTAATTACTGTGAGTTAAATAAAATAAATGGTAGATCGATTATTAGCGAAGGTTAGAGTCGGGAGGTGATGGCATGGTTGCCTGGCAACAAGAAAAAGGCGCGACGAACATTTTTTTTACTGGTGGCATTTACATTATTTCTAGGGATGAGGGAGTACACCATTATCTGTATCTTTGTCTGTGTCTGTGTCTGTCTGTTCAGCCAACTAAATCATCTGTATTCATATCTGTACTCGGAATGGGCAGGGTTTAGTTTGGAAGTGGGTGAAGTTTAAACCAGAAACAGGTGTAGCCTAATTATAAATTATTATTTTAAACTTGAAATTTATATGGGTTGATCAGACGTTGCTATATTTATTAGAAAACTATTTGCACAACAATCTTATGATTGAGTTTCATATCATTTTTGATCACAAGAAAGAATACAGTTACCCAAATGAGGATTTTCCTTCATCATGATACAGACATTAACACATTTTGCTCAGATGACACATGTACATGTAAAAAGTACATTATCTGGACTGGATACTCATTTAATCCGAATATTTGGCTCAAACCAAATTTCCTTATAATCTTTGAATTGTTAAACAATGAAGTGTTGTTTGAGAAAAAAAAAGCTATTTGAACTGCAGTTGTCCAGCTCTACCTTACACACAGTACAGCAAGGACCGCTGAGTCAATTTGCAAGGGAGTGTAATGTTTGTGAGATTGGAAATGGGAGTGTAATTTTTGTTGGGAACACAGGAGTTTATACATGAACACACACACATAGAAACTGCTTCACACAAATTTTTCTGAGCATTCACACTGCCTTGCGTAACTCGCAGTATAGAAACAACCCACTCACAGAAACACTCAAAAACACACACCTCACACAGATAATCTCTCTGGAAACAAGACAAGGAGATGTGCATCCACCCACCCACGTACACACCTACACAATCTCCTATTATCCACACAAAAGACGGTTTGCTTTTGACACTGACACACACAAACACAGACATCTCTACTCGCTGATAAAGACCTGTATCAGAAGATAACAGTGTTTTTGAAAGGTTATTCTCTGCTGTGTGCACCAACTCTCGGTATCAGATCCAATAAGACTGTGCTGTTTGGGCTGAAATCAGGGTTAAAAGGGATTTCACTGCCTTTCCACACATGTGAGGTTAGAAAACATTACCAGCGTGATAGATATAAGTGCGCAGAAGGTCAGCGACTGTAAAAATACAAACTTTATAGGCTTGATGAGTCAAAGATACTGGGAGCCAGCCATGAGGCCTTGGCACAGACAAGTCAGAGCTGAAACCCATTCAAATGTCTTGTGGAAGGAACGGATGCCAAATGTGATAAGTAGCACATTTGAACTTTAAACACAACTGCAGCCAAATCCATGCACACACTCTTTGATGCACTTTCTGGCCTTTTAACATTAATTTTCGGTTTCTTGCCATTGTCGCCAAGGGGCAAGAGATGGGAAATCAGTCATATTTGATCATGAATACGAAGTCTCCTGAAATAAAAGCCGAAGTATGCAGGTGTATCTAATGTTTTTAGTTGGTGAGAGCCTTTCAACAAGAAAGGAAACGTTAGCTGGTGTCTGTCTGTAGCAGACACTGGCATCAAACAGCCTTACATCAAACATATGCAACAAACAGCAACTGATGCACACATTTATGAAATGGCCTCCAACCATGGCAGCTCTGTATACAGCTATAATGATAACATGGAGTGATGGGCTAAAACTTAAAATGTAACAAACAAGAAGTGATGATACTCACTGGGGCTGCTGCCAGGGCCTCCTTGTTGTAGTACTTTTTCCTCTCGTACTTGTCCCGAATGAAGACCTCCACTGCTCTAAAGGTTAGGATTAAGGACTGAAATACTGCACAAACATATCCAAGTATCCATAATGCACACAGGACAGAGACATAAAGCGCATAACATATTATAGTTCTCAGGTACACAGGAAAAAAACATAGTCCCCAGTCTTTCCTTTCCCGATTTTATGGCTGTGAGATACTGCAGGCATTAGCGAGAAGAAATGAGATGAGGTTTGCAACTTGAATTCCTGGACAAGATTAAAGCTAAAGTTGCAGATAATGTGTGAGAAATTGAGGCTGTCCTCCAAAATAAAATGAGAACAATTGTTTTTTATTTGAGAAAGATGTTGAGAACATGATCTAATATTCCAAACTAAACCACAATCTTTCCCAGACAAATGCCCAAGTGTTTTTTTTTGGGTTTTTTTTTGCCTTAATGTTAACCATGGCGGCAAAATAAAACGGTTATATGAATCTTATTTGTAACAATGATTGAAACGATTTTAGAAGATACTGCTCCTGCTGATGTGGACATGAGGTAAGAAAATGCTAACGCAAATAAAGCAATTAACGCTCCTTTCACAAACACTGCCAAACTCATCTTATCTGGAAGTGGGTTTTAATACAAATCCTATCAGTCTTTAAATATATAGAAAAATTTAATGTTGTACAAACACCTGTCTTAAAGAACTTCCAATTCATTTTAAGCATCTACACAGTCAGATTACACAGCCCAGCCACCAGAGGAAAATATTGGCATTGTACATTGCTGCAAATAAATACGTTACATTACTAAATTGACATCGTATATGAGCTGACTTGTCATCAGGAAAAGGAGGGGGTGGTGGATAAAGTGACAGCTAGGCAAGGCGCTTACTCCCGACCACTGTTTGAGACCAACAACCAACAAAACCAGCTGTTTTTTAGTGAGTCATTGCTGTGGTTCCAGTGGCTTTTTAGCCACCAATCAAGGTAGTTTTGTTAGCAACCCATGGCTCTTTTTTCAGTGGCTTTTCAGCCCCAAACATGGGTGTTTTTAAGTGACCCGTCGCTGTGTTTCTAGCGGGTATTGTGCCATGAAAAAAGTCAAAACGTGATCTTTTCCTAAATGTAGCCTAGTGGTTTTTGAGCCTAAACCTAACCACAAATTAACCCTAGCGTTGCTGAAAAAAAATCTGTGATTTGCCGGAACATACATGAATTTCATTGTGAATAATTCATTGGTGTTAAAGTCCAGAAAGACTCTGGGGTCCTTGTAGCATAATGGAAAAAGCACAAAAAAAAAAATCATGTTAAAGTGATGAAAGCCGATGTGAAAAATACCTTTTGGTAAAATACCCTGATATTCCCTGTTTTTTTGGAGTATAATCAAATTCCATGATTTTCCTTGTGCACAATGCTTCTCTAAAATGTCATCATCATTGGGAACCCTGATGAAAGACATCTAGACATGAATCATATCTTCTTGCCAAATAGCATCAATGACATGACCAATTTTGTTCAGTTAAATTGATGGATTAGAAATAAATATTATTCATTAGCAACATGAATTATGGATGGCCATGGTGTTTGCATTAAGATTCCTGCAATTGTCAAAATACCATGAAAGACGAAGTAAGTGCATGCACACACATTCAACCTCACACCCACAAACTCCCACTCACACACTCCTAAACATACGCCGCCATTACACCCAGGCAGTACATCGGCACTAATCCGGACTGTCTTATCTCCCTATTTCAGCAGCAACGCTTCTGTCGGATCGAGTAATAGACTTCAAAAGATATAAAAATGATGACCACCCGCACGAGTCAAGCTACAAGATTGGATGGAAGAGGCAGGCTGCTGAAGCTGCATCTCAAACACAGCACTTATTTATTACTGTAGACTGGAAACACTTCAACACTCAGCAAAGCGGTACAAGTGTATTGGATAAATGTGTGCCAAATTATATGATGGTTATGTACACATGACCATAATGTAAGGTTAAATGAAGACTGATGGTACGTTTATGTAGGTCTGATATATGAAGGTCTGAGACTGATATATGGGCCCATTGCTGACCTTTGACATACATTATATCCGGTCCAGTCAGTGCTGTCCAGCTCTGAGGAGATGGATGTCATACAGCTGAACTGATTTAATATCTATCATAATGTATAACTGACAAAATGACACTGGTTGTCAAAGGAGAAGCCCTAAACTGAAATATTAATAATAATTAGAGCAAGTACGTGCCCATATGTTTTATTATTTCTATTGAGGTGCTGCAGTTAGCAGCTGCCATGCAGCATATAGAGAGTCTCTTAAAGTCTCCCACCTTCTGGTGGACCACCATGGAACCTTATTCTGGAAAAAATATGTACAGTAGTGTATGACGTGAGACAAATGTTTTTTAAATCCTGTTTGAATTGTGCGATATGATGTTTGGCATTTTGAAAAAACATTTTGCAAGTCAAGAAAGTCACAGTTTGTCTCAAAACTATAAGACTATGTAGATATGTATGACGTCACTGCTTTCTCTCTCTCTCAAACTGGAACTTTCTTGATTTGCAAAATTATCTTCAAAATTGACAAACATCATATGTGTAATTCATGGCACAGTTCTCATGGGATGAAAAAATATTTTTTCTCTCAATGTTGACTACCATGCATTAAAACTAAATGCTGAGGCAGGTACACAGGTGATAATAACATTTCTACAATGCTACAATATCATCAACCTGCAGAGCCAGAGAGCCACCATTTTAAACGTGCACATGCAAGTTCCAGAGCCACCGTTTTAGACATAGACACACGTGAGTTTAAGAGGGCGGGGTATCTGTCAATTATTTTTCAATGTGGCCAGTGAGAGGCTCACAACCCCATGTCAGTCAAAAATGTATAATTTCTTAATTCAGCCAATCACTTTACAGTGGTGGGAGTAGTAAAGATTTCAACTAGCTAGCTATGCTTGCGTCCGTTAGTGTCTGTGTATCAACTTCTTAATCGTAACGGTATACAGTAACTCCAACCACTGCTCATTTTAAAGGGACCACCGTTTCTGGCTGCCAGGGTGAGCTAGCATAGCTAGCACACTAGCAATAGTGCTCTGAATGTACTGTCCAGTTTGGAGTGAGTATCTTGAATGCGTCCTAAGTGTTGTGGGTGAAATTAGATGTAAACTATAAGTTAAAACGTCTGTATAGGAAAACTTGTGTCAGCAACAGATTTTTTCCCCTTGAAAAGAATGCAATGCTGATGTGAAGAGTAAAATAATGTATATGAAGAAAAAGATTAAATATGGCTAATTACAAGTACTAGACCACACTTAATATTCTTATTGGCCCTACTAGTCAAACTCTACTCTGCAGCTCCAAGTACACAAAGAACATAAACGAGTCCACACAGAAAAACATTCATAAATACACACACACTAATGTAGGAGTTGAAAACAAAATGGGAAATATGGCGGGGGAATCACACTCCATTTCGTCATTTTACATGCATAGCACAGTAAATAGCAGGGACAAAGTGATGTGTGAGTATGCAGACAGAGGCACACATAGAAAACGCTCACACACGTTCAGGCGGTAGCTCCTCTAATCCTGGGTCTGTTATCTGCTGTTTTCAGCCAGCAGCGCTGCTGTCAGAACGACTAATGGACTTCAAAAGAGTGAAGAATGATGACCACCCGCACAAATGGGCCTGCCAGATACAAGATAGGGTATTAGAGCAGCATTTCAAACAGGGAGATTATTTATTTCAGTCTGCTGGTGGAAATATGAACATATGCTGCTGTGTTAACCACACAGCTGTCTTGTCTTGTATCGTGGAAAAGGGCAAACTGGATACCGCTGTTTCACCGTTGTGCACACAGACACTGCTAGAGGTGTCCTGATTAAATGTGTGGAATGATGCTGAAGTAGAGTGGCCTGTCTCTACTTATTTGCTGCTCGAAATGATTGGGGATGTGTGGAAAATGCTAAAGTTTGTTGATGATTATGAGTTAAATTTGAAACTGTAATTTTTCTGCCTTGACACAGAAAAGGGCACAATGCAGGGGTGATTTCAGGTAGGGTTAAATCAATCGGTATGGTGATATTAGTGATATTGATTTGATGGGGGACAAGAGGGGATGCTATCCCCCTTGTTAGCAAAATGACCAAAATGTGATGGAGCATTTCTATTATTACTGCCGCAGCATTTATAGCACTGGTTTAGCAACAAGGAAACTCACACCATGCCTTAAATCATCTCACATTATGCTAGCCAATCAAATCATTCTGATAAGCATTGCGAAACAGGTGAGTGAGTGAGACACACACACAGGGGAGAGATGAGAAGAGAGACAACAGTCGGAGAAATAAGAGAGTCGGAGAAAAGTAATTTCACATGGTGTATTCTGAAGAGAGAAACAGCAAAAGCAGCTTTTCATTGAGAATGGACAATGTTCACTTTTTTCCACAGGCAGTTCAACTCACTATCCAGTGTCTCATCATATGTGACTTGCTCTATCATTTTCAGTCACAGTGACAGTCACAGTGAAACACATTTAGAGTTTATACACAGTTGGGAAAAATAAGATTCTTATCTTTCTAATAATATCAGTATTGTTTTTGTAGTCTAAATACTAAGAAAAATATGTCATATTACATTATGACTGTCACCGAGCCATGGTTTTGAGAAAAAGGCCTTCAAAGTTCTTACAATACAGTGGCCACAAAGATAAGTGACAGAGCCTTTTGGCCTTCCAATGGGAACATATGCTGTACTCCAGGGGCTGTCCTGAGAAAATATTCTTTGTGTTGGTGCTGCGGTCTGCTTACCAAACAAAGTTAGCATACAGTAAGCAACAGACTACCCACAACAATTTTCACAACTTGGATTAAATTTATGACAATTACAGACTTAGAGAATACAAATGATCAAGGAATGAACACACATTCAGACTTCATGGCTGCTTAAAAGGTACGGTGTCACCATTTTTTTCCATCTCCATCTTCATCTCATCTCTATGTTGGTAAATATTAGGCGTCAAACAGTGGCGGCTGC